CCCCCCCCCCAAAATAAAAATAAAAAAATGACGGAAATAAAATCATTCTGAATTACCTGGGGCCAGGCAGTTAGGGGTGGACTCCACAACTTTGCGGCAAAGGCCTGGAAATGGAAATCGGTTTCCAGGAATTGGCTGTTGGGCTGCATGACCAATTTCGAAACGAGATTCCACTGCACCCACGTGGTGAGGAGGGCGGAGGGTTCGCTTTCCAGAAAAGGAAAACTTTCCTTTTCGGTGCACGGGGGTTCCAATTTCCTTGAACCTGTATTTTGGAGGACTGCACCCGGACAAAAGTGGGTGGCCTGGGTGGGTGGTGCCGAGCGACGCTTGTCTCGCTCGGTAGTAGTCCAGCGAGCAGTTTGGAGGCCCATACCCACATGTCACTGGGGTCCAGAGGCACACCGGTTTCCCCAAGGGTTGTTGATTTGTCCCGTTTTGCATCACTGCGGCATCTCCATCGCCAACTGCTTCCATCGCCTTCTTTGTGCATTTTTCTTTCGTTTGTCGTTTGCAGTATCCTCTCAGGTGTGGCGAACATGCATCGCATGCAAGCAGGTGGTGTAGACAGCGAGTGGGAAAACTGGGTGGTGATGACGGTCTTCGTTGATGCTGAAGTGCCGCAACAGAGGAATGTTGCTGCAATGACAATTTTGCAAGCGGCAGCCGCTCTTCCCCTGCAAGTGTCCGGTGTCGGTGACGACCTCGACATCATAGTTGGTGGTTTGCTGCACAACCACGTCATGCAATGCACGGCTCTGAAGGGTGTTCAGGAGCGAGTACAAAGGGCACGCCAATTGTGGGTGTTGGAACGCTCCAGACGTGTGTGGTCGGATATGCAAATGAGCGGGGATCGGCACGATAGGGTGTTCCGCAGATTATGTCGTCTTCCACGTCCACTCTTCCTGGAAACCCTTAAGCGGATAGAACCGCACATTCAACGTCAGGACACGAACTGGAGGCGGCCATTGCCAGCAGCTTTGAAGTTTGCATACACACTTGACCGTTGGACAATGGGTACATACTACAGACAGTACGGACATTCCCTTGGGGTGGGGTTGGCGAGTGCCCAGCCGAGCAATGTCAACGTGGCAGATGCATGCATTCAGGAGTATGGCCATGTCATCCGCTGAGGGGCGTCGTTTGCAGGACACCCTGGACGTTTTCGAGAGGAAAGGATTTCCAAAGTGTGTGGGTGCCATAGACTACACCCACTTGTACATAGAGAAGCCGAAGCAGGAAAGGGTTAAGTGGTACTACTATCGAACCGGCAAACATTCCATTTTCGCGCAAGTGGTATGCGATCATGAATGCCTACCTGGGATGCCGTCGAGTCGTCCACGACACCGATGTGGTGTGGTTGTCACCGATGTAAAAGGACGTGCAAAAGGGTAGGGGCATCTTCCATAGCGGTGCGTGCACACTGCGTGATGGCGGAAAAATCGGTTACTACCTTCTGGGCGATGCAGGGTACCCTCAGCTATCATGGATTATGACCCCAGTTGGGCGGATGTCAAGGACACTGAGTGAACGACTGATTTTCACACTCCGGCCAGATCTATCATCGAGCAGTGTTTCGGTCGACTGAAGGGAGTGTGGCGAAATTTCATCCGTCGGCAGATCTGCAACTTGAAGATGTTATGTAAGGAATTCATGGCGGTGTGCATACTACACAACCATGATGGATGTGAATGTGGACAATGGTCGTGTGCAACTTTTCTCTCTCTCTCTCTCTCTCTCTCTCTCTCTCTCTCTCTCTCTCTCTCTCTCTCTCTCTCTCTCTCTACGTTTATGCAGTTGTCTCTCCACATACTACAGATGTCTGTTGTACATTTCTCAATTAAGCAACGAACGTAACGCACACATACACACACACACACACACACACACACACATACACACGCACACATCACACACATGTGTGCGTGAGCACGCGCGTGTATGATGTGTGCGTGTGTGTGTGTGTGTATGTGTGCCGACTGACGGAGCAAAAAGAAGAAGATGGACAACGACTTCCGTACATGTCGACCTTTGCTTTCCGTTGCGCAGGATGAATAAAAATGAACATAAATGAATCGGGAGGCAATACACAAATATAGTATGAAGTCGTTCAAGACAGTAATGGATTAGGAGGCAATATAGAAATGTATGAAGTTTGTGTTACTCTTAAATGAACATAAATGTATTGGGGGGCAAGGAAATGAGCAAAACAAGATGAACGATTTCATAAACAGGACGGCTTGGAGGCAAGCAAACGAACAGAAAGGTTTATCGTGCACGAAAGGAAAAAAATATAAAAATACAATGCATTTTCACACACGCTCACACGCTTAAAACGGCAGCTAAAGCAAAACACTCGTGCCCTTCCGATAGACAACCTTATACAAAAATGTTAGTATCAGATCCGTGGCATCAAACATGTCATCATCATCGATCCAAGGAAACGTAAATGAACAGAAGCACAAGTGGTTGTCTCCCGGGAAACAAAACAACTAACCCCCCAACAACCACCATCCATGTCGACATCAACACACAACAAACCTCATGCTAACAACCTGCTTAATCATTGCATGTTTTTCCGCTCGAAGCGATTGCCAAGACTACAATCTCTCTCTCTCTCTCTCTCTCTCTCTCTCTCTCTCTCTCTCTCTCTCTCTCTCTCTCTCTCTCTCTCTCTCTCTCT